AATTTGACCAAGCCGGAATCAGGCTTCCTGTTCACGGATGTTGTTCTCTCTTAAAGGCGTCAGACGTCGAAGTACGACGGAGGTTAGCTCTCTGGTGACGATCGGGATTAAACTGATCCCGCTGCGGTTTTCGCAATCATTGCGAGATCCTTCTTAAAAATGGAAATAATTTGTAATTCGTCCCTAAATGAAACAATGCATTGTTGCTTCCAAATGTTATGCAGTTAGAAAGTGATAGAGCGTACCAGGTTATCCCCCCCCCCCCATCTTGAAGAGAGTAGAAAGGAACCCATCCGGTCCTGCTGCCTTTCCTCACTTCAGCGCTTCAATGCAAAACTGAACTTCCGTTTCTATTGGAGGATCGCATGACACTGCCCCCGGAGCTTCAGTTGCAGATGGAGCAAACTGGTTAGCACTAGGCCAGCTGAACTGTTCGCTGAATTATTCCGCCTAGCGATCAAGTCGTTCATCCCTATTGTGAATAGCCTGTCCCGTCTTATCGCAAACTGTTCCACTAACTGGAGTTCGCCGAACTCCCGTATTGCGTATCAGTCGGAACAGTTTTTGACCATTCCGCTTTCTACGTCGTATTGCACGTATCTGGTGGAGTAACCGGACAAGCAATGCTGAAGTTAGGCGCAGTTTCGAGTAACCGCGGTCGCCAACTGGAGCAAGCGGTCAACCTTCATAGATTACTTTGGTTAGTACATGTGCTATGCATGTCACCAAATGGGTTGCCACAGCGAGCGATGATTGCCGAAGCGGGTAGTGGATGGAAAAAGCCAAGGGTGGTCAACCTAAGACCTGGCACGAGGGTATGAAAAACCTAACCAGGGTACTGGGTCATATAGGTCCCCGGCTGGGGACCTCGGGATGATCGTAACCGATAGTCAGAGACACTGATATGGCTGAGTGTCGTAAACAATGGCGTTCATGCATCTTTCTTTACAACCTTAGACCGCTGAGATTTTCCATTTTCTGTTTGACTCTATTTTCAACCTTCCTGTCTTTCTCCTGGTCCTCATCCAAATGGGCAGCCGAAAGACAGCGACCAAAACCGCTACACGAAGGTGCATGGTTAATGACTGTACAAACGGAGACGAATGAAACGATGGTTAGGACACTGAGCGATATGGCTGGGTGTCACAGACAATGGCGCTCATGCATCTACTCATTCTTCTCACAGTCTGTATAAATTCGCTATCTTCCGCTTTAGTTTGCTCTGAACTTTCCAATCTTCATTCTGCTTATTTACCCAAATGGATAGCCAAAAGACAGCAACTAAAAACGGCGCACGAAAGTGCATGTTTAATGGTTGCAAAGACCGAAAACTGAAACTGATGTGGCTGCTAATTCCATTTCGCTAGCTGACGTTGTCCACCGATTCTCACGGTATTTCTTGAGCTAACGTTGCAGATGCCACCTGGCAGGTCGGAATTTTTCGTCTTTCCTCTACCAGGGCTACTGACTCATGAGATATCCAATGCCTCCTACGGATTTGAGGCTCAGACTCAAGAACTACATTCGCTGCGGAATGCATTACTCTTCTAATCTGATCCCACTGCTCGTCTACATCGTCACGTTGAAACACGCTTAGCTCACACACTAGCTCTGACTCAGCGTGCACGAACTACAGGAACTGACAATTGATGGTGAGCTATCCGAGTTTCCTGGTTTTGTCGCCGAACAGTCAGTGGGAGAGTGAACTGCATCAAAACTAATGCGTGGTCAGATTCAACGAAGGTGGTCCAATAGGGTCTGAATTTTCGTACTGAGTCACACTAACGGTAGCTTACTGCTATGTGGTTGTTTGAGTGAGCGTACCAGTTTGACTCGAGCGTCACTTCACTGTCCGTTGAGAGCTGTGTCGGATAGGAACAGATGACGATCTGCGCAAAACTGGAGAAGTTGATCGCCGTTTTCTGTTCATTGGCAGGGCGGAGCACAACTACTACCTAGGCAAACCGACGATGTGTTCAATTTTTTAACCTCATCGTCAGTCACCTGCAATTGCAACTATGTTGGAGCTTCAACTCATCCAGATGATATCGGTGAGTTCATCGTAGAAAGAGTCATCTTGTGTATTAGAGCTGCAAACAGCTGCAGTATGCTAAGGGGTGAGTGTTAAGGGTTGCGGCTGGTCACACTTCTCTTGCACCCCACGAAATGCTCCCGTACGACCAAGCGTTTCATTGAGCCTCTACTGAGGAAGCCCTACTCACTGTCTTCTCGTAGCGGTGTTTTCTCACCAAACTGAGGGGACGAAAAGCCGACACCCCAACCGCGTTGGTGGACCTGGGAAACCTGGCAGTATTCCGCCCACACGCAATTCGTGGAACGTCTTCCTTTTTCATAAAGATCATTCTACCATGATTTGTTTGGCACGCAGTCTGGATTTGGACATGTGTGAAAATAGATAATAAATATATAGAGCTGCAATATGTCGGTGCACGCGCCGATATGAGCAAACACCTTTTGTGTTGCTTTTCTTCCGGACGCTGATCGAATCTTGGAGATGCATCGCACATAAACACCTGCTGACGGAGATCCAATTGTCACTGAGTACAAAACTTACCCCGCGCCGACCCACTGAACGGGCTTCACCGTCATCCGATATGCGGAAAACGAACCTCGAGGATAATCTGGTGCGCTCAAGCGGTTTATAGTAGTAGGATCCCGAAGTTGAGTCTCCGGCACGCAGCAAATATCGATCCCTAAGGATTCCATTGTACACGCCAGACAAGCTTGTTGAGCAACCTGCATCTGAGTCCCCACGTTGAACGCCGCCGGATTCAGTGATTGACGAGGCTTTAGAATCTGCTATTCATTTCGTGGTGAATTACTTACAGTGCATTTGGGCAACAGCCTTTGGCGAGCGACATTCAAGTTACTTGAGGGACTATTACAGGTTGGTGGAAGGGGAACTTAGAGAGCTAGGTACTGCAGATAAAGAATTAAACAAAGGCTCATATATCTGAGCAGTTGCCCACTTATCACTACCCAACCCGCTCGATGCAATGGGCATTGCGATCCTGATTATAGAGCTTGACGACCAATGCAGTATGGAATTATTCTTTGTGTTCATTGGAACTTTACGGACGTATAATGCCAGGATGTCCAGCCACTAAGCGAGAGAACCATTAGGGTTCCCGTCCAAAGCCTTTAGTTCTAACAAGAATCTGATCGCAAGGCAGCGGTTAAAGCGAAGTGGAAGCCCATTTATCTGGATTATTATCATTATATTTCACACTTGTCTGAGGACAGAGTGTGTGCCAAACAAATCATGGTACAATAATCTTTATAAAAAGAAAAATGTTCCACGGTTGGCTTGTGGGCTGAGTACTGCCAGTTTGCCCAGGCCAATGCAGGTGAATTTTCTTGAGGAATCCACAACCGGAGCCTTCGGCTAGCCAAAGCCTGACCCGCAAGGCAGCGGGGCGGTGTGCGAAAACCGCAGTCCATTGGGAGCCGGTGTCCAGTTCATCGGATCATACGCCCTTCGGACGGGGTCAAACATCCAAGGTGCCCAATACACCTCAATGCCCAATCTAGCCGGTGACCACTGCCACAACCAAAAAGGTGTGGGTTTGGTTCGTACGTCTCCTCATGGTTGGTTTGGAATCAGGGTTTTTGGTCAACTCCCCTAGGTGAACTGCCAGTGGTCCACCAACCCGGCTATAGCCCCGGATATCGGCTTTTCGTCCTCTCACTTTGGTGGGAAAACACCTCTGCCGCGAGAAGGCAGTGAGTAGGGCTTCCTCAGCAGAGGCTATTTGAGACGCTTGGTCGTATAGGGGCATTTCGTGAGGTGCAAGGGCAGGGTGACCAGCCGCAACCCTAGACACCCGCCCCCGACCATACTGAGGCTTTTACCTGGATCGATTACCCTTGTACCATTTTACCGAGTGAGACGCTGACTCGAGTCCAACCACCAACCTGGAGAACCAGTAGACTCAACTCTGTCTGACCTCTACCCTTTGACCTTCCAGGCGTGGCAAGATTTCGTGGCTTGACAAAAGCCATCCTGTGTAGCTTGTTGGGTCATAGAGGTGTACAAGCCCTCACACCGTCTGAAGGTGCTGTCTCGTCCTGAAGGCCCTTTCAATTTTCTTGATATAAATGTTACCGTTCTCAATCTTTACTCGGTAGCTTATCTTGAAGTTGCCTTACCACATTACATTGCTCAGTTCAAACAGATAACTATGCTAGGGTCCGAAGACTGCTTTTGCACACTTTCTGACTAAATGTAATCGTTAAGTTTGTGACTGCTTGAACTCTCAGTTCAGTTTTTACAATCATTGTCCATTCATTTTCACGCGCCGTTTTTGGTTGCTGTCTTTTGACTGCCCATTTGGATGAAGAGGTGGAAGAAAGATTGAGGTTTAAAGCAGAGTTGGAGAGAAAACGGGGAATTCCGATAGACTAAAATGGCTAAGTCAACTACTATACGCACGAATGCCATTGTTTACGGCACTGCTAGTACTGTGAACCAGTTTTTCCTTTGATCTAATAACGAAACTATTCACACCTCCAGATCCAATAAACATCCTCCCCTTTGCAGTGTCATTCCCAAAACTATTTTGATTTATTTTATGGTGTGCAAAAATCGCAATTTGTGTGATGCACTCAGCAGTCGTATACTGTCTAAATCATAGACCCTTTTCTTTTTATGATGATTATTGTGCCGTGATTTGTTTGGCACAGTTTGAACTCAGATGTGTGCGTGGAAAAATATATATCTAATGAAGATCACTTTGTGCATAGCCGTCCTAATAGATTCATGTCATCCCCATACTCGTTCCAAATTTAGGCTTCTTATTGTACACGTTTCACCCTTTACAAATTCAAAGTGCCAAGTAATGCTGCAATACTGAATACCGACTGATTATGGTTTGAAGCTAGTGGGACTGGGGTTGGTTAAATCTGATTAATTTCCCTATCTAAATAGTTGCGTGACCGATGACGGTAGCGTAGTGAAAGAGAATTGTATTGTATCCCACATGTCTGAATTCAAACTGTGCCGATTCCTTTGTCTTGCCCGTATCCCTGTAAGTTTGTCATTCATTACTGTGAACTCAATAAATCACTTGTTGGCTTAGATTTAATTTCCTTTATTGCATACTACTGTTTTTGTCGCCTGTCACACTTGGTTTACTTATATCTTGTCAAAAACTAAAAATCTATTTTGCTTATTTGCGCACCGAAACACCTAAACTCGAGCATACTAAAACATTCTAATGCCGACGTTGTCGCCTCCGTGTGCGCTCTCACCACAGATGACTTGTTTTCGAACCCCAAAAAATCCTCAACTCATCGGTGCTGGAAAAAAATTAGTTGCTTCATCTTTAAGGTCAGTTACTCACCAGGACCGAATGAAGCTGCAGTTCAGTCACCCAGAGTCCGTAAACCGGTCAAATGTATCACGTGTCAAGGACGGAGCTCCTATCTATGATAGGTATTATCCGTGAGCTGTTCACTAGTGCTTCTCGTGTTATCTATAAGCAGCTTCAACGTAGAATATTGTAGGAAATTGTTTTTTCAAACTGGCTTTTTCTAAATGCGGTGATGGGTGTGTCAAGGACGGTTTTTGTGCGTAAGTGGGTGTTTTCTCTTTATGCAGTTTACTCGCTAATGTGTACGAGTAACTTGCGATCAGTCACTTTTACCTTTGAATACAACTTGATCCTACCTAGCTGTATAGCAGTTTTTGAGTTACTTCGAGTCGGTGGCGGTGACAAGTTAGTTCGTCAGATTATTTATTTAGCGAAGATCCGGATAACTGCGCCTTTCTCTTGTTCAACGTAACGCTTCAGTTTTCAGGATTTGGTATACCATTCAGAATCATTTGCATTCTCGTGACCGATTAGGTTTATCCCATGTACTGTATGGATGTTCTTTATAATATTAATTTAGTTATCAGTTGTTTTAAAACATAATGTCAATTTCAAAGAAAGAAAAAATCCCTATATTGAAAAACATCATGTAAAAGGGAGATTATGGTGACACGTAAGATGCAACTGCGTTTAAAGAGTGCAATGCTGTGAGTTGAGGGAAAAGCAGATGGTGGGGTAGTGTTCCACAACTTGGTAGTTCGGTGAAACAGCATATTGAGGTACAACGTCTAATGACATGAATCTGATAAGGATGACTGGGTACCTGTGTGTAAGACAGGTTATTATCATCACTATCTGCAATCGGTTTACAGTTAGGGGCTGGCAGCGATCAATCTGTTACGTTTCGTTCCACCTCATTGCTCAATGATAGAATTAATATCTGGACAATATCCTGGTACGAGTTTTCGCCCATCGTAAACCAACTTGGCGTNNNNGTTTGGGTTCAGTTCAGTTCAGTTTGTACAACCGTTAACCACGCATATTCGTGCGCCGGTTTTGGTTAGTCTTTTGACTGCCCATTTGGATAAAGAATAGGAGAAGAAGGGAAAGTTGAAAGTGGAGTCGAACGGAAAATGGAGAAGTTCAGTGGTCTAAGGTTGGGAAGAAATTGAAAAGATGCACGAACGCCACTGCTTGCGACACCCAGCCATATCACTCAGTGTCTCTAACC